CCAAGATAATCACGTTGGCCCAAGATGGCCTCCAAGATGGCCTCCAGCTCCGCCAAAGATGGTCCAAGATGGCCTCCAAGACGGCCCAAGAGAGTCCACGATGCCTTCAAGTTCGTCCAAGAAGCCTCCAAGACGGCCCAAGATGGCTCCAAGATGCCTCCAAGTTCGCACAAGAAACCTCGGCCCCAAAGGACGGCCTCCAAGACGGCCCAAGAGGCCTCCAAGAGGTGCTCCACGAGAGCCCAAAGAGGTCAAAATCCATGTTTTCCTTAGGTGTTTGAAGAATTCTGGCTTTTGTTGTTTTCGAGCCTTCCGACGGCTCACAACAGCCCAAGGAGCCCGAAAGATCGCCCCCAGAGCGCCCAAGAGGCCTCCAAGATGGCCCTATGACGGCCCAAGAGGCCCCCAAGACGGCCCCAAGAGGGCGCCAAGACGGCTCCAGAGGCCTCCAAGACGCCCAAGACGGTCTCCAAAACGGCCAAGATGGCCTCCAAGATGCTTCCAACACGCTCAAGATGAACTTCAAGACGACCAAGATGGCCGCTAAGACGGCCCAAGATAGCTCCAAGATGGCCTAAGACTGCCCAAGAGGGCCCCGAAAGGCCTCCAAGACGTCCTCCAGGAAGGCCCGAAAGGGCACAAATTACTGATTTCCTGTATTTTCTTTAGATTATTGGAAGATGTTGGCAGTTTCTTCTTTTCAGCTCTCCGACGGCCCAAGACGGCCCAAGAGGCCCCCAACATCGTCCCAGCGCCCAAGAGGCCTCCAAGATGGCCCCATGACAGCCCAAGAGGCCCCCAAGATGGCCCCAAAAGGCCCCAAGACGGCCCAAGATGGCCCCGAAGACACCCAAGATGGCCTCCAAGACAGCCAAGATGGCCTCCAAGATGCCTCCAAGACTGCCCAGAAGGCCTCCAAGACAGCGATTGTTGCCCCAAGATGCACCCAAGACGGCTCCATATGGCCTCAAGATGGCCTTAGAGTGCCCAAAAGGCCCGCCAGAGGCCTCCAAGACGGCCCAAGAGCCCTCCAAGACGTCCTCCAGGAAGGCCCGAAAGCTCGGAAACCACCTAGTCCGATAGCTCGCCCGACTCCGTGTTCCCCGAAGGCTTTCAAGACCCACTCGGGGAACGCGTGGCCCGATAGCTTGACCAAGCTCAAACCCAACTTTCGGCCACGCAGGCGCTTCCAAGTAGGCGCTTTCGATCCGCCGCCCCCTGTTGATTCATCACAGGGGCGCCCGGCGTGCTGGATCCTTTCGCTGTTGGTCTTGGTTCTTTTTCCAAAAGACTCCCCTGGGGTTTCGGCCCCGCCCGCCGGGGCCCGGAATGGCCCAGAAAGGGCGGTTCCAAAAGCTGTTCCTGCGCCAGATGGCTCCAGGATGGCTTCCGAGATGGCCAAGATGGCCCAAGATGGCCTCCAGGTTCGCCCAAGATGGTCCAAGATGGCCTCCAAGACGGCCAACGAGAGTCCAAGATGCCTCCAAGTTCGCACAAGAAACCTCGGCCCCAAAGGCCGGCCTCCAAGGCGGCCCAAGAGGCCTCCAAGAGGTGTTCCACGAGAGCCCAAAGAGGTCAAAATCCATGTTTTCCTTAGGTGTTTGAAGAATTCTGGCTTTTGTTGTTTTCGAGCCTTCCGACGGCTCACAACAGCCCAAGGAGCCCGAAAGATCGCCCCCAGAGCGCCCAAGAGGCCTCCAAGATGGCCTAAGACTGCCCAAGAGGGCCCCGAAAGGCCTCCAAGAGCCCAAGACGGCCCAAGAGGTCCCCAACATCGCCCCAAGAGCGCCCAAGAGGCCTCCAAGATGGCCCCATGACAGGCCAAGAGGCCCCCGAGAGGGTCCCCACAAGACCCCAAGACGGCCCAAGAGGCCCCCATGACGGCCAAGATGGCCTCCAAGATGCCTCCAAGACGGCCCAGAAGGCCTCCAAGACAGCGATTGTTGCCCCAAGATGCACCCAAGACGGCTCCATATGGCCTCAAGATGGCCTTAGAGTGCCCAAAAGGCCCGCCAGAGGCCTCCAAGACGGCCCAAGAGGCCCCCAACATCGTCCCAGCGCCCAAGAGGCCTCCAAGATGGCCCCATGACAGCCCAAGAGGCCCCCAAGATGGCCCCAAAAGGCCCCAAGACGGCCCAAGATGGCCCCGAAGACACCCAAGATGGCCTCCAAGACAGCCAAGATGGCCTCCAAGATGCCTCCAAGACTGCCCAGAAGGTCTCCAAGACAGCGATTGTTGCCCCAAGATGCACCCAAGACGGCTCCATATGGCCTCAAGATGGCCTTAGAGTGCCAAAAAGGCCCGCCAGAGGCCTCCAAGACGGCCCAAGAGCCCTCCAAGACGTCCTCCAGGAAGGCCCGAAAGCTCGGAAACCACCTGGTCCGATAGCTCGCCCGACTCCATGTTCCCTGATTCAAAACACACTCGGGGAACGCGTGGCCCGATAGCTAGGCCGAGCTCAAACCCAACTTTCGGCCACTCAGGGGCTTCCAAAAAGCAAGGGGGCGGCGGTGATTCGCCGTAGGCGTTTTCGATAACGCCAACGTTTCAAAATACGCTGATGATTCCTATCCGCCCCCGCATGCTGTTCCCAGATACGCCAAGGCAGCGCCGAGACGCACCGACGCGACTCTGTTATCCCATATGATAGGGAGGGGGCCAGCGACAGGGGGCGAAGCCCTTACGGATATACAGAAATAAAATGGCTCAGCCTGGGGTGCCAGCAGCACAGGGCGCAGCCCTGAAGGTAAGTCATCAACCTCCTCAGTCCCTTCCTCCACCTCCTTCTGCTCCCGCTCCTCCTCCTCATCCTGCTCCTCCTTCTCCTCCCTCTTCTCCTGCTCCCCCTCCTCATCACCACTATCATCAACACCAAGATCAGCAGTGTTTCAGCAACGTCATCATCCCTCGTCCTCCTCATTCTCCTCCTCCTGCTCCTCCTCCTCCCGCTTATTCTCCTCCTCCTCCTCCTCCTTCATGTCCTCTTCCTCCCTCCGCATGCTCGTCCTGCTCCCTCCCGCCAAATCATCTCCTTTCACCTCGCCTCCTCCTGCCCCTCCCCCATCATCATCCTCCTTCTCCTCCTGCTTCAGCATTCGTGGACGCCCGACACCCTAGGACAGAATCCATCTTTGCTGATGTCCGTCTTGTGGGAGCTGCTTTTCAAGGTAACGTTGTCTTAGTCCCCTACTGGGATCCCAAATGCCCGTTTTCTTATTGCTCGTGCTTTCGTTGGGCGCGCTGGTCTCGTGGCGCGCCGTGCCCAGAACCACAGAATCCTCTTGCTCCTCCTCCTCCTTGCCCTCCTTTTTTCCCTCCCTCTCCCCCGCCTGGACCTCGACTCGACTCAACTCAACTGGGACATGGTGTCATGCTCGAGACCTGCAGGGCTGACGGCCCGTGGGCGCGCGTCGGCCGCGACCGCGCCGTGCCGCGCGGGAGCGACATCGTCGCTATCCGCGTCCCCCGTCCTCCCCCGCCTCCTTCTCCTCCTCCACCTCCTCCTCCTCGCCTCCCCCTCGGAAGGGGCACGCGCGTCTCCTGCGCCCGCTCCCGGAAAACGCGCCGGGCGTTCCAAACCTCCTCAATGCGCTCCACCACGCGCATCATGCCCCTGGGCAGCCGGGTTCGTCACCATTATCACCAACAAGGAGCATGCTAAGACTGTTCGCTCTTGTCTGCTCGCGTGCATTCACCACGTGAGTCCCAAACCCTCGAACCCCGCTCTCTTCGTTTTCGGCCGTGTCCCACTTGGGGGTAGATTTTCCATACAAGCCAGTAGTCTGCGCAGCCCCTGCAACAGGGAAGGCAGGATGGAAGAGACAAAAGAGGGGAGAGAAGGATGGAGCACGAGAGAGATCAGCTGGAGGAGGATCAGGAGTAGATGACTACCTACCAGGCCACCCCAAACCAACCCGAAGACCCGAATCTCGGGTTGGGGGGGTAAGGGTCCCACGCGTGCTTTTTCTGTGCTCCCCGACCCCCCCCACTGGAAATCGATTGTAAATTTGAGCCTTCGGGTTGGGTTGGGGTGGTTTGGTGGGTGGTGAGTAGAGACACGCCAGTAGTTGGCGCAGCCCCTACAAATTGGAAGGCAGGAGGGAAGAGACAAAAGAGGAGAGGGAAGGATGGAGCACAAGAGAGATCAGCTGGAGGAGGGTCAGGAGCAGAGACGCAAGCGGCAGAACTGGACGGGCGGGTCGGGCCGGCGGACCCTGACGAGCAGGTCCTGCGGGCGGGCCCCGACGGCCTGGTCGGGCGGGCGGGCTGCTGGGGCGTCACGCTCGCACGATTCGCACAGGAGGCTCGAACGATGGCGAGACTCCCAAGCAAAGCGCGAGGAGATCCAAAGTGAGAGCGTGATCCCTGAGTGTTGGGGGCGCGGCACCGCAATAGACTGCAAGGAAGTCCCGCGCGAGAGCACGATGCCGGCGTACATTGCGAGGAAGTCCCGCGCGAGAGCGCGATTTTGAAGAATCAATTGTACAGAAATATGAGGCGGGAGCCGTTGTTGTTGTATTTCGGGGGGGCAGCAAAAAAAGTGCAAGCCCTGGGAGGAGCACTGTTAGAAAACACCATGGGCAGGCAGAGGGGATCAACAATAACTATCCTTGAGACATGAGATTCCAAAAATAGCAGCAGCAATTTCAACAATCACTTTACCCGAATGCTCTGGATTCTGTATGCAGCATGCAGGATCGAGAAGTTGAGCGTTTTTCCCCCGGCGTTTCGACATTGGGCAGAAACGGGGGGAGGGGGGGTGTCTGGCTCCGGACCTCTGCTTAACGCTACTGTTCGCAACAGTGCGTCCAATGGGGGGAGGCTCCACCTGCTCGAAATGGGCGCCAAAAACAGCCAAGATCTACTCCATGGGAGGGGGGAGGGGGGGGGAGGGACCGCGCCGATTGGCAAAACCATTAATAAGAAACGACCACCATGCAAGATCGAGAAGAAGGTGGATGGGGTGCCGAGAGCAGGCAGCACGGGAGCGGGCGGCCGCCTGATGAT